CAGCGCGGCAGACTCGAGCCGCTGCGTTTGACAGGGACCGATTTTCAATGAGGCGCGCCGCGACGGAGCAACGACGTCGGAGCGTCAACCATTACTCTAACGAGACGCGCTTCGTCTTTTCTCTTTATTCTCAAGAGTCGAGCAACATATTGCGGAGAGCGAGTCGTTTGATTAATTTTCGTGAGAAAGTGCGAACGTCGACAATGGTGGCGGTCTGTACCGACTGCTGTGTAGTTGCAGTTGAGCTGCGAGCTGCACCGAGTTACTTTTCGTACTTGTTCTTACGTGCGCGAGCTCGTTTACACCGCACGAATCAATTATAAACGTTTACGTGCCTTCAGACCACAATTTGCGGTCTTGTATGTATGTTTCAAGTGTAGCTCATTTGACAAGATCATTGATAACAACGACAGCATTCACTCATATTGCCACTAGATTTTCGTTATGGATTCTTCATTTAATTTCTTTTGGAATTTGCTTAAGAGTTTTTACTTCGACAACAAAATCCTCCGTTGCTACATAAATGATATTGAACTCTATACTTACGACAAACGCAAAATTATGCTTCAGGCAATTTAGCGTAATAAAGATATTTATGTGCGAGTATTCAAGAATTGAGATCCGGCTCAATTTTTAATTCTTGTGAAATAATCTCCAAAATAAATTCGGATTTCCTCTTTACTTTTTTACTTTTACCTTACTTTTGAGTCACGCTAACCAAATCTAAGCGTCTTTCAAATCTTATACGTGACGGGTTGCATTGCAACAGAAAAATGTGACAATCGAGGCGAGCGAAATGAGCGTGTGCCGCTGTTGCTCAAATCACTTTACAAGATTGAAACGTGCCCAAGACAAAGCTCACTTCCGTTCGTATGTACCTTAGATACCTATGCATGCATGTAAAAGCGTCCGAGTGCACATGGCATCGGAGATGCTGTTGTTTTTTTTTGTCGGAAAAATTTTCCGCCTTGTTCGAAACTCGCGAAGCTCGTATGACTTTATGCAACGCTTAGTTTCACGAAATTCGCGTGTTTCTTTGATTCTTCTCGATGGAGCCGCCAGCAGCGGGTATGTTTATGTGTGTGTGTGTGTGTGCATGTGTGCATGTGTTATGGCTCGCTCGCTCACGGCCTCATGCACGCGGCAGCGTGGGACGCGCGTGATTATAATAGCGAGAAAGTGAGAGTGCAACGCGCGGCGCGCAATGTGGTTTCTCGTATTTGCGATGCGCCTGCACTTTCGGCTTCATTATCATTTTTCGCCAGCGATAATGCTCGCCTCTACCAGCCGAATGCATGATGTGCAACTAGGAGCTGCGTCTCGTACACGCGAACGTACGATAGAGAGTCTTCGATTTTTATACACGCTTCAAACTTCCAGAGCACCGAGTTTAAACTGTACATGCGCGGAGCTCTGCGGCTTCGACTTGCTATGTCGGGCTCTCCTCCGAATTATAGTGATCGCTTGCATACAATCTGTATAGTCATATACTTTTATCTCGGTCGTAAAAATTCAAAGTCATCTTATCCTTGGCAATGTTTTTTTTTTTTCAAGTTTTATGATTGACATAAAGCTCCGAGGCTCGATCGCTGTTGTTATTTCGGAGCAAAGTCTAAATGTCGTGTACATAAAAGCTGCCCATAATGACGATCATCGCATTTCAAGGCCGACTTGTCGCGGCATAATTTGCTTTTACTTGACCATCGGACAAAAGAAATGCGTATTCTTTGATTTTATAACGTCATGCAGCTAGTACGAGCCGCTAGCCCTCACTAGCATAATATTTGCAAGACTATCGTCGATGAACTTTTAAATTACTCAAGTCGAAGCAAATTGGTAACGCCAAGAATTCCAAAACAGTGGGAAGTGAAAAAAATATCGTGGATAAAACATCGGATATGAATTTTTTGCTTTACGTTTCAACGACAGTAAGGATTAATTACAACTCGTCATTGTTTTGATAAATAATGTTTATTTTCATCGTACGGATAGCAATGCGGTGCATCGAATAAATAGTCCGGAAGAGAAAAAAGAGAATTGCAGAGTCGGTATAAGGCGCGTTTATCTGGCAGCGACAGACGACGAAGATATAGCTGTGGTTATGCGATCGGTTATAAAGTGCGAAATAATCCGTAACTCTCGTTTTCCCAAGCGATCGGAATCAACGCCTTTCGCGCGCTCATTGTTAGCGATGCTCTCCTCCGACGTATACATAACTCGTCCTCCCGAGTCTCGCATCTCTTCCTTTTAAGTGCCGTACACACACGCGCGCGTACGTACGGCGACGCACACGCAGACACATAATATGTGAATCGGAACACGTTCTGTTTCTTCTGAGTCGCTGCTGCGCAGCAGCTCAAGTCTGCATGCATTATGCGCGCAGTAAAAACTTTTTTACGCAACAGATTCACAAGAAACTCGGGATCGCGCGCAGCTGCGAGTGAATCGATTACAACACACAAATACAGGTAGATGCTGCACACGTATATATGTATACGTGTACGTCTCGGGGCTCTGCACGATCGCAGAGAAAAATGAATCCCATACGGCGTTCGTTATGTAGCTCGGGATTCGCGACGAGCGCACACACATGATGCACTCGACGATCGAGAGAGCACAGATAGAAGCGGCAGCAGCAGCTCGTGCGCGAGGCGCGGTAACGGAAAAATGACTTTTTCCGCACGAAGCGAAAGTATTTTGATTGGCCATTCGCCGAATGAATTTGGATTTTTCCAAGCGAGTACGTTGGCATACGCATGGCTACGATCCGCATATACACGTCTGATAAATGCGATTACTATATAATGACGCCGAGGCAGGCCTGAGCCGCGCGCTCGCGTACCCATGGATTATTTGTAAGCGTGTATACGTTGTGTATAGATCGCGAGCTGCAGTAGTTGTATATAAACCTGCGCGCGGCCTGCGCGGAATGCCAGTTATGCTTCTTCCAGATGAGAGAGAATCAATGCTTCGGGATTTCCGGTTTCCGTGGTGGAATTCCATTTTTTGCCCGATGCGCTTGCTAATAGCTCGGTGGTGAGCAGCTTGTACGAGAGAGAGAGAGAGAGCTTGATCCGAGCGCGCGTGCACGCACCATGCCTATCGGATTCAATGCCTTTTCCCGCTTAATAGCCCAACAATTATGTAGGCTTTTGTGCGATATTTAGCTCTTTGGCGAAAAGTACATTATGGATACATGTGCGCGCACAAGCCGCCGAGTCGCATTGTCCGATGATGCAACGCACACACATTTTCGCAATGACCGCGACGCGTATTATGTCTTGATATATATGCGTGACTCTCGAGCGACAAAAAATCCATAACAATAATAGGGGAATGAGCGTGAAACGGCGCGCTCTGTCGCTCGCCAATGTTATGTATATAATAAATATACACGCATTTATATGTGCAACTTGCAGGGTCGTTTGCACAGAAATCGCCTGCTATTCCGTCGTCGCGTATCTCACTCGGCGAAATAGAAAACAAAAGCTTACTTTACTTCGTTTGCTCATTTAGTCTTGGCCAATACTACCTCCTTTGGGATCGCATGAATAAGCTTGTACCGTTGCCGGACAATCGGTACATGGAAAAAAAATCAAACGCTTCTTTTCACAATCTGTGTGTGCGCGTGTACGTGTGTGCTTTTTCGAAAACTAGCCTTCGTAGAAGCGAGCGTGCAACATTATAATGCTGATTGTAACGTTTATTTGCACGCGGCCAACTTATTCGCCGGCTACTCGAGTATACAGCGGCAACGACTGCACAATTGGAGGCAGCCACGCGTTTGAAAAATATTATTTCCTCAAGGATGAATGTGTGTGTGTTTGTATGTGTGCATATTACATAAAATGCTCGCGAGAATTGGTGCATGTAACTTACCGAACACGAGCATCAACGCAAACAATAGCCTATTTACCAGCTCTCGGGCGTTATAAAAAAAAAAACAACAACAACAAGATTTTCCGAAAGAATGCGTGGATCAACGTCTTTTGACGCGACTTCTTACATGCGTTTCGTAAAATTAATTACAAAAGTTTGCGTCTTATACTGCCGTGACTGCTTCTGACAGATGCAGCGCTAAAGACACGCAATGTGCATTACAAATATGCGTATAGAATTTTGTTCTCGTGCATAAATTCTCGCGTTTCTTCGAGAACCTACACACATGACTCGTCATTTCTACATGCCATTATGAATAATTTGTTTGTAAATTATTACACTTTTTTTTGCAAAGGACGGTGACGATCGTTCATATATTGTATGTATTCTCGGTTAGCATTTGATGCAGCATCGGGCATCGATATCGAGCATATAATTACAAAGTGTAACGGTCCCAGCTCGAGTGAATAAAATAAAAATATTAAACAATTAAGCGCGTAGACGCAACACCAGGCGTTCAAAGAGCGCAAATAGTACTACTACTATATACGGAAGATTGGCGAGATTACGTCGTCGGGCGCGCGCGATCGAGAGCTCGTACCGCGCCGTACACGGCTCGCAATACATAATACAAAAGTAATCGATCATCGACGCCACGCGTCGCATTATTGCTTAATGCCATAATTGTCATGTTATTATATGTTAATTGAATCTCAAGCTACCTTGAAGTAGCAATGACCTACTGTGCAGCAACATATATATCCGAGTATTTTTAGAATAAATGTCGTCGTTTTTGCAGAGGATTTTATAAGTAGCTTAGCTGAATTTAAAATTCCAAAAGAGCGAATTGCGTCAAGAAATCACGAAGCAGTTCTAAGATCAGGAGCATTGAGCCCGAGTTACGAGCGATTAAAAACCGAGAGAGAGAAAAAAAGTTGGTTGGAAAATGTGTAGGATACAATGTAAGTTTAAAGCCAACACACATAATATGAAAGCGCATAAGAGTGATCCACAACCGCGGAGGATGGACTTGACGTAACAGCCATGGCACACACAGTAAAGAGTATAGGAGCACAGAAAGAGAAACGAAAGTATGGAGAGAGAAAAAAACGACGACTCACCGATTGGTTTTGACGCATACTGCTGTAACAGTCGTGCTCGTTTCTTCTCGTAGCCTTTTTGCGTGATGTCCCCTGCAACAGACAAAGATAAAAAAAGAATGAACTATGAGTAAAAGGAAGAACGAGGTTAACATTTCATATTACTTTGACATATTACACAGCACATTGTTAGCGATTCGCGCGAGTACGGAACGATGTTAAAAAGCCATGTAAAAATTGCACTAATGGATGGGTGAGACACAACAAACATTTTATTGGGAGAGTTACGCAAGTGAAAGAGAGACAGCACGTTCGAACTCTCCTTTTCAGCGTGTACGTACTTTTTCGTACATTCGCACGTACGTGCGTCGCGCTGATCTATGCTCGTAAAAAAGCAGAGAAAAATTTCGCTTGATATGATATATCTGGTGAATTCGATTCCAAAGTACGTACTCGACCATAAATAGTTGCGGGAACTCGGAGAATGTAAAAATCAACGATTCTCGCGATACATTCGAGGATGTGGCTTTCTTTTCCCATTGCGTGTTGTTTTTTTGCGTTGGATTATCGCTTTGCACCTACGGTACTATATAGCCAGTGGAGATATATATCTATAAGCGCCTAATGTCGAAAGGAACAATCCGTTGGAACGACAGGGGATTTTTCATTGCCTACATAGACGAGCTGCAAGGCGCATTATCGTCTCGGCAATTGATAGCGCGCACCGTTCGGAGCTTCGTGCTCTACGCATCGAGGGACAGTCGGATCAACCCACGCGCGACCATCAAACGAGTCGTAGTCGTCGTCGTCGCACGGTATAACGCTAATACTCACGCGTGTACATGCGAGAGAAACGACCACGAGTCCTCGAAGCTGCAGTCCATCGTCGTCCGGCTCTTGGCATTTGCGCACGTGCTCGCGCGTTACTTTGAAAAATTTACGACCAAATGAATAAGCGATGCTCGCATGCGTATGGGTGTACGCTGCGCAGTTAAACGACCTATCCGCCGCGTGCATCGTCCCCCTGTCGCGCATACCTCGAGACCAACAAAGAGACTCTCGGGACTTTTTCGAAAGTGCAATTTTTAACTTTGAAACCGAAATTATCCCTGAAAGTGGCACATTTTTTTTCTTTCCAAGCAACTGCGCGTCGATAGAGAGCTCTCGAGCGTTGAGAGCTACAGTAGACAATTGTAAAATCGAGTAAAGCAAAGTGTAAGTCGGGAAAGCACAAGCTGCGAGCCGTACAAGCCAGGGATATGAGTTATTGCGCAAAAACGCACGACTCGTGTCCTCGTCGTCGTCGTCGTCGTCGTCGCGGCTGTCCTCAAGTACGGCTAACCAGCTGACAATGAGATAGCAGCTGAGAAATCGCTCGAGTGCTTAGCTCCGCTCATACGTATAAACTCGCGAATATATCAGCGCGAGCAAAACTTGACGCGTGCGTATACGCGCGTTCGTAGCCTCGCTACATGTATTACTCGTGCTACGTCCCGCTAGCTCGAAGCAACGAAGGGCATTTTTTATGCGCGATTAATGAGCGCGCGAGTTAGCTCGGACTCGTGTGAATACGGTTTGTGCAGTTGACGACTTATGCGACTTCTTTTAATACTCCCACCTGTTGTTGCCGTGCTCGATCGGCTTTTCTTTCGCGAGCTCTTAATTTACGCGCTCGTGCGATACGTAATTCTATTTTCGCTCGGAGTAACAACAAGTTGGAGCGTTAGCTGAAAACACAACGCAGCGCATGCACTGGTAGATATAATTACGCCGCTTCGACGTGGTGTACTAGCCGTTCTTCCAAGTCCCTATCCTTCTGCATCTTGCAAAAGTCGCGAAAAGGCAAACGTCGCGGCGCGTTCCTATAAGGTATATATACATCTACATTCTATATGCATCCGTACGTATATACGCATTCATTACGGTAAAAAGGAGTAACGCGTTTAGCTCAAGTACTTCCTCGATCGTTAAAATCACGTAACGCGCGCCCATGTGTGAGTCTATGTAAGCGCAGCTATATGCGCGTATAATTTACCTATACCGAACAACATGCTATACTCTTATTTGATAGGGGCCGTAGCTCGTTTTATAATATTAAATCGAACTCTGGCAAGCGCGAGTGTTTATAAAGTTAAACCCACGTGAAACGAGCAAAAGAGAGAGAGAGAGAGAGAAACGAAGACAGAAAAATGAGAAAAATCAGAGTGCGCTGCGCTCTCGCTACAGTCAGCGAAGCGAATTACATCGATCTGTGTTTTGTATCGATAACTGACACCCTGCAAAAGAATAAATTATCGCGCCCAAGATCGTAGATTAGAAAGTTCGCTACGAATAATCAGAAGTGCGTGCGCGCTTAAAAAGTACACGACGCTTCGAGCCATAGACTGCGCAGACCTTTTCCTCAACTTGGCTAATTTTATTAGAAAACAAGAAATCCAACGGCTCTCGAGGCTGCTGCTGCATTATTTCATGCTGCGAAACAGTAAAATGCATTTGCACTGTTTTTCTGTATAAGCAATTGCAAAGAGCTTGAAAACTTTCCACTCTGTTAGTTGGATGTGGCAGTATGAAACGAAAAAATTCGCATCTTTATTCCGCGCGTATTCTATAAATACACGCGCAAACTTGAACAAGAGTATGAGCTCTCTTACCGATGCATATTTATGAGAGAGAAAAAAAATTATTTATCACTACTAAATAGAATATTCAATTATTTGATTACCGCGCGGAAAAATGTAAGCAGCAAATTCACTCAGGTACAAGATGGCTGTAGCGAATGATATGATAATCAGATATTGCCCGTGAATATGTAAGATTGGCTCGCACAAGAATTTTAACCAGGAAAATAAAATTCAAGGTAATTTGTGCAATAATCGTAAGGTCAGCTTCGCCCATTTTTCAGATTACTTTTTATCGTCGTGGCTAATAAAAAGGGTCGATTATCAGAAGTTCTATAAGGTAAATTACGCTTCGGTCAGAATGATCATAAAGGATTTTTCATCATTCGTTGATGGTACAGTAAGAAAAATCATACGTTATATTACATAATGTACATTTTATACGCCAAATAGTTAACAAGGTAGAAAATGCAGAGCAGCGAATGCACCGTTAAATGTGGCTTATACATGAGCCGAGGCACTTGAGCAACACAATCATTGAGCGAAAAGTAGGCGTATCAGGAAAAAAGCAGCGTAGAGACGAGAATATGGGCAAATTATGCTGGTTGGCGATGGCTTGCCGTGCGTGATATTTCGAAGAGAGCAATGCGCAAGAGCTGCTGCTGCTGCTGCTTCTGCTTCTCTGCTGCACTGCAGGCTGGCGCTGTTGATTCGCGTCATGCACGACGGACGAAATGAAAATCATCCCGCAACGATCAGGAAAATGTGAAATGATTCACCGCGAGAGAGCCTGCGGGCCAATATAGGTATGTGCGCACGCGGCGAGCTATATGCTCGCGCACGAGTTTGCCTGGAATGATATGAGAAGAAAAAAAGAAAGAGAGAGAGAGAGAGAGAAGCAGAGAGAAACAGAGCTAGCTGCGTGCGCGCAGTTGCGAATTGCGATGCTCCGCATGAGCACGGGGCTGTAGTCCGTGAACGCGCAGTTTGCGAAACATGTTCGTAGACGGCAGTCGCTTCGACAGCTTTTATTGTTGTACAGCTCGCTTCGCGCGTTTGTTTCAGCTGCTTTTAGGAAATTTCAGACCTTACATGCACAAGTACGATTGTAAGGTATGCACGTACGCGCGTACACGTATATGACTAAATACGTATAATAAAATAACTCGAGCCTTCCAATTAGTTTTATACGACGTAATTTTTTCTTTCACCAAATCTTCGTGAAATAATTTTCATTTTAAATGATGTACGCTTTTATGGAAAATTTGCTGCTCTATTCGGAGCGATTGCGAGCGAATTGAAAAATGATCATTAACGTGATTTTATTAAAACTCATAAATAGCGCAAGAATGAAATTGACCGAGCTTAATCCAAAGTAAACAAAAAATTGGGTGTAAATAGAAAAAAGTGGCCAAAAGCGCGCTTACTGTAAGGTCTTCTTCGGAGCGACGACCTCTTTCTAGCGAGAAAGACGGGCTGTCCTCTTGGGTTATTGGCCGCGGAGCCTCTCCTCAATTGGGATTTTCTCCTGAGCGGCCGTCTCCGTGGTCCAATAGCCATATCTTGCAACCTACTGCTGCTCTGGCCTTCGAGCACGAGCACGACCGAGCAGTTTCTCTTTCCATTGGATTTTGCATCTTTTTTACCACCCTCGACAACGAGCAATACTCGCTGCTGTTCTCTTTCGCTCTCGCTCGAGGACGAGCATTCCGGCACAGATATAGACGACCTGCTGCTCTTCGCCACGAAGCCGACAAACTGACTGCTGGCAAAATAATTGCTCCTAGCAGACGCCTTGACGTTGGGCTTTGATTTATAGTCGGCTCGGTACTCTTCGTAAAAGATTTTATCCTCGTTGAAGTCGCTGATTTTTGGCTTGAGCGAGACCAGACTCGTTGCGCTCGATATCAGGGACGAGGAGTCGAGGGTCGAGCCCGAGTCCGTTGCCTTTTTCGAACAGTTCAACGGTATTACCAAGGTCTTCTCCTCGAAATCGCCGGACTGCAGGAGCTTTTTGTCATCGAACTCGTCCGAGTAATTCGAGTCGTTGGACCAATCGATGTTCTTGCCCTCGGCATCTTGGTCGTCGGCCGCGTCCGTGGGCATGTATCTGACCTCCTGCCAAACTCTGCCGGGCTGACGACTGGACCTGCGACGTTCCGGTGGGACGAACACAACCGGGCTCGGCGCTCTGACCACCGCCGTTGGTGGCGGAGGCGGTGGCAGCGGCGGAGGCGGAGGTAGCGACGTCGGCTTGCAAATCGCTACCTTGCGCCTTCGCGAATTATAAGTCGGTCTTCTCCTGCCGCTCGTCATTATGCTCTTTCTCGATCTTCTTATGGAGGTCGAAGCTGCCGCGGTTCGCTCGAAGTAACCTTCCGCACTGACACTGGGAGACGGCTTCATCTGAGGCGTCCTCTTGCGTCTCCTGAAGAAGCCGTTTTTCGTGGTTAGAGCGGCTGCCCTCAAATCCGT